AATCAAAAACGTCCGCCCCCCTCTCTCTCTCTCTCTTCCAAGGAGTTGTTCTATTTCTTGTGCTCCACTGATACAAGATCTATATAGCTGTTTGAGAATACAGTAGAAGATCTTAAGGTATATACGGGATTCCAATCAAATCTATCATCCATCCAAACCGGAGACCAAAACCAGCAAGTGACCATACCACGACGACCAGGACGACGAGTCGGAGAGATCGCCGCCAGCCGCCGCCGCACGCGCCCACACGCGCCGCCGGAAGATCCCAGCTGCTGGAACTTACACGCGCGCGTGAGAGCGCGTGAACCCTACGATTTCCGACCGGTCAACGCCGTTGACTTCACCGTGACGCCTGCTTTCTGGATTGGTCAAGTTTGTTCGATTCCGAGAAGATTTGATTTGCGGTCATTTGTTCGGGCCAGCCAGATCTACATAAATTTTAAGCCGTAAGTTTTCTACATCAAACCTTTAGATCCGCTGCGCATAGGTTTATGTTGAATGTTTGTCCGTGATTTGTGCATATCGAGATCCTCATGGGTTCCAACAATTGGTATCAGAGCACGAGGTTAATCCGTTATGTACAAGATCCGGATTAAACGACTTATATTGTCTATGTGTGCTGAAGCGCATCCATATATATTGGATTATTTGCATAACTTGGTTTTGCAGGAAGTAGTTAATCCACTATTATGGCCACCTTTTTATGTGCTTGTGCTTAATTGATGGTTGGTTGTATGGTTTTAAATTTGTTTTTAAAGCCTCGGGATTGTCGAGGAATTATGGATGAATGCTTGTATTTAATGCCCGGGGGTTGACCGTATAGTTTAATTTATTAATAGGAGGCATGTTGTGACGCCCCGTTCGTTTATGAATAATTTGGATTATTGTTATTATTATTATTAATGTTCATCATTAATTGTGGCTATTATTATTGAATGTTAATTGTCTAAATGCTTAAATAATTTTTATGTGTGCCTAATTGTGTTCATTATATATATATTAATTTCGGTATTTTTAATTTAAGTATTAAATATTATTTTAAATATTTTAATTATTATTGTAATTTTATTCTCGTCATCCGAGCATGTTCGAGCCGAAGCCGCGCATCCGTGAGCCGCGCGCACCCCTCCCTCCTTCCTTTTGTGTGGTGGTGTTAATTAGGGCAAGTGACTTGTATGGTAAGTCACAAGCCCTAGCCCTATATATGGAGATGATCATCCCTCCCTCTCCTCATTATTTTTCAGCTGCCACTCCTTCACTCTTCCTCACTCTCCCGATCTCTCTCTCGCCCTCTCCCCCTCTCTCGTTATTTTTTTTTAATCGGCCGCGCCCATCCCTTCGCCACCACCCGGCTGCCGTGCCTCGTCAGGCCCATCGTCGCGCGTCCAGGCCATAGGAGCACCTCCCCAGGCCTCAGTTCGCATCCCCCCCGACGCCACCGAGACCCAG